GCCTGGCTAATTTTTGTATTTTTAGTAGAGACGGGGTTTCACCATGTTGGCCAGGCTGGTCTTGAACTCCTGACCTCGTGATCCACCTGTCTCGGCCTCCCAAAGTGCTGGGATTACAGGCATGAGCCACCACGCCCGGCCATTCTGGGCTATTTCTAGAGGCAGAAACTGACAGCCCATTACTTAGAAAGCCTCCGTCACAGTAGTTCCCAAGTCATAGCGACTTCCGGGAGCTCTGGGAAGGCCATTGTGACACTCTGGGTTTCATTAGCTGTTTCTTAGAAACAAGCAGGGGATTTGGAGCTGAGAAGAAGGTGACCTACCCCGTGCTCCAGCCTTGACTTCAGAGTTAAGGTCTCCGGGCTCCCCGCAAGACCCACAGTGAAGGGGGTTCTGGGGCAGACCCCGGAAGAGCCTGTGGGTACAAGCCCCTTCCCAGCCGGTGCCCAGTCCCTGCCCCAGGGCTGTCTGCCGGGCGTCCCTGTGACGTAGCGCCTTCTTCTGCAGTTGGCCTCTACACCTCCATCTTTGGCGTGCTCCAGCTGCTGTGCCTGCTGACGGCCCCCGTCATTGGCTACATCATGGACTGGAGGCTGAAGGAGTGTGAAGACACTTCCGAGGAACCCGAGGAGAAAGACGCCAACCAGTGCGTAGGCAGGGCCGGTGCCCCGGCTCCCAGCCCGCAGCCCCTGCAGAAAAACCCCAGAACTGCATGTCAGGCACAGGGTGGGCGGGTCAGAGGGAGAGAGGATGCACTCCAGCTCCTCCCCAAGTCCTTCCAGAGACTTACTCAGCTCAGCGTGCGTTTAAACTGCTCCCCTCTTTATGGAAATTCTTTGGAATTCTATGGAAATGCTAAAGTTTGAGGCCAGGTGCGGTGACTCATGCCTGTAATCCCAGCACTTTGAAAGGCTGGGGTAGAAGATCACTTGAGGCCAGGAGTTCGAGACCAGCCTGGGAAACATGGCCAGCCTCCCGTCTCTACACAAAATTTAAAAATTGGCCAGGGATGGTGGTTTATGCCTATAATACCAACACTTTGGAAGGTTGAGGTGAGTGAATTGCTTGAGCCCAGGAGTTAGTGACCAGCCTGCACAACATGGTGAAACCCCGTTTCCACCAAAAAATACAAAAATGAGCCAGGTGTGGTGGTGCGCACCTGTAGTCCCAGCTACTCGGGAGGCTGATGTGAGAGGATCGCCTGAGCCTGGGGAGGTCGAGGCTGCAGTGAGCTGTGATCGCACCATTGCACTCCAGCCTGGGTGACAAAGTGAGACGGTGTCTCAAAAAAAAAACTTTAAAAATCAGCTGGGCCATGGTGGCATGTGCCTGTTGTCCCAGCTCTTCAGGTGGCAGAGGCAGCAGGACTGCTTGAGCCCAGTTTGAGGCTTCAGTGAGCCATGATCGTGCTGCTGCACTCCAGTCTGGGTGGCAAAGCAAGACCATGTCTGTTTAAAAAAGTTTAAGAAGCATTGAGGGCCGAGCACAGTGGCTCACACTTGTCATCCCAGCACTTTGGGAGGCCG